TAACCCAGGATAGGGAAAGGTTGAAAGTGTTTGTTCGTGGCCTATACCCCTATGCAGGGTGAGAAAGTTAAAGATGATTATGATGATAATGTGAACAATGAAAATAAATAGAAGCGAATATATATAAACTAAGCCCCAACAACAGCAAAAACAACAACAACAACAACAACAACAACAACAACAAAAGAAACTCCAACAGATCCTCGAAAGCCAGAAATATGGAGCATGCATAACAAACAATCTCTCCATGTCTCGGGCTAAGCGAAATATTTACATAATTATTTTTGTCGCATCTACCCAAGACCAGAGCTTTACAAGTTGGGCAGACTTTGTTTCTGTGTATGATCCTGTATTTTGTGTGAGAAGATATTGATTTTGAGTTGAAGAGGAGAATTGACTTAGAATCTCTCTATATATTATATGTTAAAGTTCGTTACTTTGGTCGCCTTAAATATACGAACCACTTTATTTTCGAATTTGAAAAAAAAAATAATAGTGGTTCTGAATCATTTAATGAGTGCACAATTATATTAAGGAGTCTTGAAGTCACTGTAGTTTAATTTTCAGTATTTCATAGTTTCGTTTAGATCTAATCCTTGGAAAGTCGGTCGTCTAAGACGCCATTGAAAACAAGCGAGGCTTCCGTTCACAAGCACATCCGCACTACAGTTCCACAATGACTTGATGATCAATTCTTTTGAGTCCGTTCATCGAACAGGTACTCAGCTAGTATTTTATAACTGAGTTTAGGCGGGCTTTTGGCTTTTTTTTCGTACTTGGTATTTCGGATCTCGATGTTTCTGGAAGGTTGGAGGAATGTTGTCTGAGCCGGGTGGCCCGTGCGTCTTCAGTTTGGAGATAGCAGACCTTAGCTCTGTGATTATGAAGTCGGGCTGAACCTCTCCCCGGGAATTTTATAAGACACCTCAGCTGTTATTTCAAGACTCTTTTCCCTCCTGTGGGTGGTTGGCGGGTGCTCTGATGTGGTTTGCTCAATTCTTTCCTATCAAACATCTATCGTCCTGATCTCTTCTCCTTTTTTAAATATTTTATTGTAACTTTCTTGTAACACCTCTAATCTTCGGCACTTATATGACCGTGTTGTGTTGCAAGTTCTGTAAAACTCTTACCAAAACGAAACCAATATCTCCTCTGTCCTCTTTTATCTTGACCAGGCTGCTCACTTTCCTGAAGAGTGTTAGGAATATTATGTCAGCTGTCCACTTGTCAGAGGTAAATAGGCGTCCGTGAAGGTGGTCACACGGCACCTCTGATAGGTTCAGGACTTTATTCCAGATTAGCGATTATTCAGTTTTAACCGAAAGATAAACCCCTCTTATTCTCAGGAAAAATGTATAGCCCAACAGATTAGAGAATGCAAACTTCTTATACAGGGCTTGAAGGTTTGATTCCTATTTCGTTCAAACATATTATAATTTTTAAATTCTGTTTTCTATATTTAAAACTTGAAAAAGGCAGGCACCAACAAACATACTATGAAATATACAAATTCATGTTTTTGCTTTGTGTGTGACAGTTCCAAAAATGCTGCAACTTTATCATGGGTTTGTTGATGATCGGATAAATAGTGTGGGTAGTTGGCGGGTGCCCTTGTCTGGTTTGCTCCTTCTTTCCTATCAAAAGCTATCGTCCCTCTCTCTCCTCCTTTTTGTGTGTTTTTACTCCCTTGTATCATCTCTAATCTTCGGCACTTATACGACCTTATAGTGTTGCAAGTACCGTAAAACTCTTACTAAAACTAAGGATATATATTATGTGTCCACTACGTCCTTACACTAACAGATAACTGTGACACTGATGAAAGATGGAAATGTTGGATTACTAAAAATCGGACTGGAGACTTTTAAAAACATAAGACTGTCATTTTGACGCTTTGGTACAACTCTGTGATAAACACTTAAAGTAGAAAAAAAAACACTTTAAAAAAACAACAAAAAAAAACGGAAGCTTTTTAGTTTTTGAGAAGGGTATTTCGGGCCCATTTCCCCTCCTTTCTCCCTTGGGAAAAACCAGTACCCGCCTCCCTCGTGTTGGGGGTGGCGCTAGAGCGATGTAACAAGCTGTGAGGAACTCTCCCACTCCCACTCCTAGCAAGTGAAGGCGTTCAAGGGTCAGTTAACTTTTCGGCTTTGAAATGGCGTAAATAATGTGATTTTGATTGGAAAGGGATAGCAACTGTGCGACTCAACATAAAGAGAGAGAGAGAGGGGTGGGGGGAGAGAGAGAGGGAGAGAGAGAGGGGGGGGAGAGGGAGAGAGAGAGAGAGAGAGAGAGACGAGGGGAGGGGGGAGAGAGGGAGAGAGGGAGAGAGAGAGAGAGAGAGGGGGGGGGGGGGGGGAGAGAGAGAGAGAGAGAGGGGGGGGGGAAGGAAAGAAATGAGGAGAAAAGGAACAAAAAGAATAGGGTATCAGTGTTTATAAGACAACAGCCTAAAGCGAATGTGACACATAAATAGTTAATGAGGTCTTAGTTTCTCCAGCGTACTTTACACTTCGGGTGATTCAACTTCACTAGACTGGTGTCTGTGGTGTACCGATTGGGCATTTCGCCGTCGCACGCTAGAGGAGACGTGAGTTCGATTCCTGCATGGGGGAGAATAACTATTGAGCATCTCAGTCTTTCTACTGAGACTTTGTCATGAAAGCTTAAGCCGAGATGGTCCTAACAGGCAGGGTCGAAGCCCGCACCCCTAAATGATCTAAACTGTGAAGATCGGGGCTTAAAAACAGCACATTATTTTTTATTTTTTTTTTAAAGGTTTCAGCTTCACTTATGCTCTGCTTTGATAGTTTTTTCATCTTCTTCCTAGTTCACTACACACGTTGTCTGGTTTCCGTTTTCTTTTACCATACCTCTTTTCAAAGCGTAAACTTTCCTCTTGATCGTTTCTTTTTATTTTCTCTTGAAGCATACGTTTGGGGAGATCCCGTTAGGTTATTCGCTGTGTTACCACCTGTCACGCGTGGTCAACATATTGAGATGTTTTTTAAGTTGGACTTGGGACTGGAGATCAAAAACCCGGTGGATAGGTGGGTGGTTGGCGAGTGCGCTGGGGTGGTTTACTCCTTCTTTCCTATCAACCATCTGTTGTCCTTATCGCTCCTCCTTCTTTTTAGAGTTTGTTACTCTCTTGTAGTTCCTCTAAACATCAGTATTTATATGACCATATTGTGTTCCAAGTGCAGTAAAACTTTTACTGAAACTAAACTAAACTTGGTGGGAAGTCCTTTTCTCATCTAGCTCCATCTGTCTGGAACTCTCAGCATAGGGGGCGAAAGTCGGTGCTATGTGAGAGAAGGATCAGACAGTTTAACAATTTTGTTCAAAGTACTTATCTCCTGACACATTATCTTACTTTACTTTACTTTACAATTCGTTTTGTATTATTAGATTTGAGGGGTTGTTATTTGGTATGTTATTCTTTCGGAGAACCTCTTTAACGCCATCCGGCCAAGTTTTGCGTTCCCGCGTCTATTTTCTCTTACAACTCTTCTGATCAGAGACATAAGTCATTTTTTTCTGAAGCTTTTCTAACCAAAGACATACGTTCATTTTTAAAAAAATCTTGGTGGGTGGTTGGAGGGCACCATCTGAAGGGCCTACTTCTATATTTCCCCTTTGTTTTTTCTATTTGTCTACTGTCTGTCTTACCTTTTCCCCGACTCTAATAATGGCCAGTATTTCGTCAACGTGCTTCTATTCACTCTAACCAAACAACAAACCAACAAACTGAATTGTCATTATTGTGTCGATATGCTTCTCTTTACTCAAACAAACTAACAAACAAACAAACAAACAAATAATCAAACTAATTGACCATTATTGTGTCGATATGCTTCTCTTTACTCAAACAAACAAACAAACAAACAAACAAACAAACAAGTAATCAAACTAATTGACCATTATTGTGTCGATGTACTTCTCTTTACTCAAACAAACTAACAAACAAACAAACAAACAAACAAGTAATCAAACTTATTGACCATTATTGTGTCAATGTACTTTTCTTTACTCAAACAAACTGAACGACCATTATTGTGTCCACGTGCTTTGGTTTCCTCAAAGAAACCAACAAACCAACAGACTGAATGGCCATTATTGTGTCGATGAGCTTCTGTTTCCTCAAACAAACAAACTAACTAACTAACCAACTGACAAACTAACTAACTAACTAACTAACTAGCTAACTAACTAACTAACAAACTAACTATACTAACTTACTAACAAACTAACTAACTAACTGACCAACCAACCAACCAACAACCAACCAACCAACTAACTGCATGTAACTAACTAACTAACTAACTAACTAACTAACTAACTAACTAACTAACTAACTAACTAACTAACTAACTAACTAACATTGGGGCTCTCGTGGCCTAGAGGTTAAGGTGTTGGCCTCTCACTCAAAAGGTCCCGGGTTCGAATCCGGGTAGCGACCAAAAATTTTTCTTCTTTAAATGTGTCTCCTTTCACCTCATTTCCTGCTCTCTTGCAATGTTCTGTCGTCTGCTTTCGTCTCCTCTTTCTGCCCCCCCCCCCCCCCACCCAATCACCTCCTTTGCCCCTTCCTCTGGGCTCCTGATTCTTTCTGCAGCCTTTCTACTGCTACTCCTTCGCTTCTTCTTACTGCAGTCTTTCAGCCACACCCCTGATCTTCTGGTAGGAAAAATCTACACCTAGCCTTCTTGGACAAGGGCGAAAAATCTCGGAGGGCCCGTGTGCAAGTTGCGCACGTTAGAGATCCCTTGGTGGTCTAAAATCAATAAGAGTAAGCTTCGGCCGCCACCCGGGCAAAATTCAAAATTTCCTACCAACTGAAAATATTAGGTGTGTCCCGCGCGCTCATATAGCCTATGCAGTTGCGAGCGCCGTAAAACACTCTGCTATAAAAAAAAAAAAAAAAACCTAACTAACTAACTAACTAACTAACTAGCTAACTAACTAACTAACTAACTAACAAACATTTCCTCTTCCAGCTCTCCTGACCAGCGACATGTCTCGCCTGAAGCACACGGTGAACACGCTGTACGTGTTGGCTGACGTCATGCTGGGGGCCACGCCCATCCGTGTGTACCACCTGTTCTTCTCCGTGTTTCTGGGCTCGTTCTACACGGTCTTCAACGCCCTCTACTACATCAACAACGGCAGTCTGCTCACACAGACAGGGGTAGCTCTCGGTGAGTACTTTTTGAGACTTTTTAAAAACTTATTTGTTTTGTTTTGTTTTTTGTCATTTGTTCTTATTTTGTTTGTTTATTTATTTATTTATTTATTTATAATTATTAATTTATTATCATCATTTTAAAAATATTTAATTAATTTTATTATTTTGATAATTAATCAATTAATTTACTTACTTTTTTTGGAGGGGGGGGGGGGTGTTCGTCTCTGTATTTCAAAATTATGTCACCGTATATCAATGATTTTTATTGCGTTGCAGGCTACATACTAACATTTATTGTGTAATCGTGATAATATAACATATTATTGTGACATCCATGTATCCCTCAACTCCGATTAAAGACACATGAACAGTACATTGTGCTCTGATATAGAAACTCTACTCTATTTCTACAACTGTTATCACAATTTTCCCCGCCAGGCTGATATCGGCCTCATCATGGGTTTTTAGTTTTTAGTTTTAGTTGAGGTTTTACGGCGCTCGCAACTGCATAAGGTCATATGAGCGCCAAGGGGTGGATGTCAACAGAGAAGTCCACAAAGGGAACCAGACTTACTCTACTCACCTCTCTAGCTTCAACAGCATAAAGTCTGCTTCGACTATCAAGGCACCCCGGAAATAGCGGGTCATAAGAGTGTGACAAACATACAAAATAAGTAGAGGTAAAATGACGATAGTAAAGATTAGGGGGGAAAAGCAGCTGCTCCCTGTTGCAGTTCAGGCACAGTTATGATGAATCAGCCTATTTACAATTACAATTCTACTGTGCATAAGAACTCGAGATGTTAATGCCCCCCCCCCCCTTGGGAATGGCCTAAAGACACTTCAGTTAGTAGCACCGCCCCGGGGGTGGGGGGTGGGGGTACATCATGGGTTTATAAAATATAGTACACTGTAGCTGGTGGATAGCAATTTTTTCTTAAATTGCAATCATATTTATTAGTCAATTGATCTATCGAAGTGTATGTCTAAAGTGAGATAACTTAAAAATATGAAGAAGAAAATTTTCCTTTCCAGTCTACCCAGTATAATTTAAATATGATATTTCATCTGGTTTGTTTTATGTTTACACCAACATCTATGGTGAGATGCAGATTCGGAGGTTTGAAGCTCAGCGACGTCTTACATTGTGCCTTTGGATAAGAAACTTTACCCAGAGTTGTCCTATTTGATGTGGTATTTTTGGAGATTGGTTGTTAAATTCGGAGGCCCTACCTCTTATATAAGCTTCCAGTGTTGCGCGGGGCGTTTAAACTAAACCGTTTCATTCATTTTTCCTTCTCATTTGTTTTGGGGTTTTTTTGGCTTTTAAAAAAATTTGTGGTGGCATGTCATGTTACCCTCTTGGCAATTACACGCGGAAGACCAGGGTCCTATTCCAGCCTTGGGAAACTTAATTTGATCGAGTATCTCTATCCTTCCGCTGGAATACGGTATTCCTCTCCTCCCAGAGTGACCCTGGCGCTCAGTGTCGAAGCAGTCGGCTCCTTAATAATCTAAATCGTGTCTATGGTGGCGTGACGTGAAACAATTTATCATTGTCTTACGGTCATGAATAATTCACAAGAAGGTTTACTTGATGGTCCCTTACATATAACCTAATGGTATTGTTATTTGTGTAGTCATTGTCTATTTCAACACAATATAAGACGTTTAGAGACAAGTTTTCTGAAATAAGAGTCCACCCCCGACCATACAGGTCTACTACCAACGTCTGTGGTGTAGCTGTTAGTCTCTTCACCGTCGCACAAACAAGATGGGAGTTCGCTGCCCGAGTGAGGCCTAGGTGTGTCCCCTACTTCACCTTTCACTTTCACCTAATTTATGCGGGGGGGTGGGGGGGGGGGGGGTTCCTGTATTCACTTTCCACCCAAAAGGGTTGTTTTTTCTTTCTGTCTTCACTATTCGCTGCTTTTCTCTTTCTGATTCTGTCTTCTCTATTACTAATAGGATTAGTTGTTTCTTTCTTCCCCCCCCCCCCCCATCAGGGCAGTGCTACTGACTGAAGTCTTCTTTAGGCCATCCCCATCGGGGGGATATTAACATAACGTTCTTATGCACAGTAGAATTGTAAATGGGCTGATTTGTCAATGTCATGCTCATACTGGGCCGGAGCAACATAGGGGAACTGCTGCTTTTTCTTTCCTCATCCTTACTATCGTCATTTTCCTCAACTTCTTTTGTATGTTTGTCACTCTCTTATGAACTGCTATTTTCGGGGTGTCTTGATAGTCGAAGCAGACTTTGAGCTGTTGAGGCTAGAAATGTGAGCAGAGTAAGCTTGATTCCCTGTTTAAACTTCTCTGTTGACATCCACACCTTGGCGCTCATACTCATATGACCATATGCAGTTGCGAGCGCCGTAAAACCTTACTAAAACAATATATTTCTCTCTTCCTGTCTTCACCGTTCGCTGCTTTTCTCTTTCTGGGTTCAATATCTGCTGTTTTTCTCTTTCTGCTTCCACTATTCATCAAATTTCGTTCTCTTTTCTCCCTCCCCACAGACGGGCGAGACTATTACTTCATGAACTGGACCCAGCCGGTGGAGGCTGTCTGTACGTGTGTGCTGGGAGTCATGCTCTCCGTGGCCGCCCAGTTCGTACTGCACGCCCTCTATCGACTGCGCCACTGGCTGCACGGGCGTCTTCAGCCGGGTCACACGGGGCTAGACGCGGAGCTTGAGAACATAGTGACGGCGTCCGCTAGTTATAACTCTTTGGAGGAGGCCTATGGGGGAAGGGGGCCTTAGCTTACTTGTTGTGTTGGGGGGGGGGAGAGGGGGGAGGGGAAGGAGAGAGAAACAGAGAGAGAGTGTGTGTGAGAGAGAGATAAAGGGAGAGAGAAGGAGGGAGGGAGGGGAGGAGGAGGGGAGGAGGAGGGGAGGAGGGAGAGAGAGAGAGAGAGAGAGAGAGAGATAGAGGGAGAGAGAGGGGGGTAGGGGAGGAGGGAGAGAGGGAGAGAGAGAGAGAGAGAGAGAGAGAGAGAGAGAGAGAGAGAGAGAGAGAGAGAGAGAGTAGTGTGCGTCTGCATGTAAAAAAAGGGGGGGGGGTTGAGTAAACGAGAGGCTCATTGACACGATAACTGTCATTTAGAGCTGGAGAAAAGGGCCAGACAAATAAACATACATAGGTAGTTAAGAAGTACACTCGACCAATGGAGGGAGAGAGAGTGATGGGGTGAGTGTGTGTATGTGTGTGAGACAGAGAGAGAGAGCGAGAGAGAGAAACAGAGAGAGAGAGAAAGAGAGAGAGAGAGAGAGAGAGAGAGAGAGAGAGAGACAGAGACAGAGAGAGAGAGAGAAAGAGAGAGAAAGAGAGATTATGTTTGTGTATGTGTATGCGTGTTTCGAGAGTATTTAATTTGTGTTTCCAATGGTTTTTCAATGTTTTGAGGTGTATGCTATGAATTTTTCAATGCAATGTTTTATTATTGATAGGCATAGATGAATACTCTTTGCAGATCGAGTCATAGGAATAGAGAGACAGAAGATAGACAGAAAAGAGAGAAAGTCTGAGAGAAAGAGATGTTGGGGTGAGGGGGGAGGCAAGAGAGGCAATGAGTAGATTAGAAAGGAAGTCACATAGGAAGGGCATAAAACCGATAAAAGGAGAGAGAGAGAGAGAGAGAGAGAGAGAGAGAGAGAGAGAGAGAGAGAGAGAGAGAGAGAGAGAAAGAGAAAGAAAGAGAGAGAGAGAAAAAGAAAGATAGAGAGAGAAAAAGAAAGATAGAGAGATATAAAATGTGTGATTGAGACTCTGCGCGCGCGTGTGTGTGTGTGTTTCTGGACTAGAAAGAAGAGGGCTCTTCATTTGATAATTGATAATACATGTTGTGCATGTACATTGTATAAGTCGTCGTTTTTCTTTCCACGAGTGTTGGTTGATGGTCGAAAATCAGTTCATTGATGAGCATGGTATTCCATAGTTTGCCAACAAGTCTGTGTTTCTCAATTTCTTATGTGCGACGAAAGGAGCGCTTCTGCTGAACTATTCTAAAAATAATAAACCATATTAATGAAATTTGAAGGGCGAGTTGACTTTTGATTATATTTACGACTAAAATGGGAGAACTTATTCAACAATTATTGTGAAGTGTGCTGACAAATTGAGTTATTTCTTAGATTCAAGCCTTAAGGGGGGGGGGGGTCTACACCTGAAGGCTATCTCGCTGACTACTGGACCGAATTTTACCAAATTTCACACATATAACAAGCATAGTAAGGAGTCTTTAAAACCGCAATCAAATTTGAGAAAAAGTTTCGTTTCCATGGATACGGCGGCCATATTGGATTTTGTTGACAAGTCTTACGTAATAAATACCGCACTTGAAATGAAATTGAATGATTTTTTTGCATGCGTATTCACAAACATTAGATCTAAAAATGTGTCTGTTGTTTTTTTCCTAAACGAATTAGAAATTTTTTAATGAATTTTTTTTCCTGAGGTAGCATTCCAGTTTTCAAAAAATCCGTAAAAATCCACACTCCAGACACCACCAACAAAAATCTATTCCATATATCAAAAATTCATCACACATTTTTAGTATTTTATCTTCTCTTCATTCGGTGAAAATTTCATGAAGATACGAGAAAAAATGGAGTTATTCAAAAAAGTATAGAGAAAAGTCGCGTTTTGAGTAAACAGCCGATAAAGGAAAATAAAATACTGACTTTATGAGGAAATGGCGGTGACAAACATGCCCAGTATGGGAAATATACGGTTTTGGGCGGCTCTTATGTGATGAAATAGTTGTAGGAGAGGCTGAGGAAGCTAAAAATGCCTACAACTCAAATTCCATAATTTTGAGCCGAATTTTGACTTTGGTGGTGTAGCCCCCCCCCCCCCCCCCCCTTAATAAAGGAAATAGATAAATCACGCTTATAATTTAGAGGTAGAGTTTTTTACAATTTAAAAGTACTAAATAATAAAAGACAGGTTATAGTTAAAGAATGTGGATGTGGCATCAATGGAAAATGTACAAACTTGACCCCAATGTCTATTTTTGGCCAATTTGGATCTCCATTTGTGGATTGTGAGAAGCATCTCATTTTGACAGCGCGCCTCACAATTTGTTTCAATTCAATTGGAAGTCACTTTATTATTTCCATTTTAAGGATACTTTATGAACGCGTTGACTTTTCATGTATATTTGGGACAAATATTTCAATGTTGGTGGCACCACAAGCGCACGAATGATGGATCACGGTTCCCAACCCCAAGACATCAGTCGACATACCGAAATCGGACACAGAACAAACATTTTTGGGGGGGGGGGGATCCCTCTTCGCCTCACAATTAAGGATTTAAAGTTGTTGGCATTTTTAGCTTCTTCAGCCTCTCTTAAAACTATTTCATCGCATAAGAACCCCTTATTTCTTCCCATACCGGGCATGTTTGTCACCTCAATGTCTTCATAAAGTCCATTTTTTTCTTCTTTATCGCCCGTTTTCTAGAAACGTGGTTTTTCTATATAGGCTACTTTTTAAAAAAAAATAACTCCACCCTTTTTCATCCAATCTTCATGAATTTTTCACAAAATAAAGAAAAGATGTAATACTAAAAATTTGCGTGATGAATTGTTGATGCAAGGAATAGTTTTTTGTTGGTGGAGTTTGGAGTGTGGATTTTCACAGATTTTTTTGCAAACGTGAATACTACCTCAGGAAAAAATTCATTAAAAATTTTCTAGTACGTTTACGAAAAATTCGTCACACAGATTTGTTTTATTGTTTGCCAAGATGAAAGCAAAAAAACCCAATTTATTTCCATGAAAAATAAGTGCTGTATTAATTACGCAAGACATGCCAACAAAATCCAATACAGCTGCCGTATCCACGGAAACAATTTTTTTTCTCTCAAATTTGATTGCGGATTTTAAGACTCCTTACTATACTTGTTATATGTGTGAAATTAGGTAACATTAAATTGATCCACTAATAAGCGAAATAGCCTTCAGCTGCCGCCCCTCGCACTCCCAACTTAAGAGAAAACGATAAACAGATTTGAGGCAAAAATCACAGTATTTATTGACCACAAACTTCATTGTAAGTAACAACTACGTCCTAGTTTAACTCATTCACATTATACAAAACACCCAACTGAGTAGACATGAATTGCCTCATACAATAAAGACCCGGTATTCTTAAAAAATAGATGAATTTGCTAGGGGTCTCGTAGAATTTTATGACTGTTGACAACTGAGCTATGTCAAGTGTCAGCTGAGCTGGCTCACAGAATACTTAAGTTAAAAGTTTTAGTTTTAGTAGAGGTTTTACTGCGCTCGCAACTGCATAAGGTCATATGAGCGCCAGAAGATTAGAGGTATTACAATAGAGTAACAAACATAAAAAAGAAGAAGGGGAGATTTATCATATAAGGATGATAGATGTTTGATAGGAAAGAAGGAGCAAACCACACCAGAGCACCCGCCAACCATCCATAAAGTTAAAATAAAAAATTTTTAAAAAGAAATGTCAACAAGTGTATGTGCACATTCTACCCGTAGAGGTAGTCTTTTATTTTATTTTATTTACAGCGAGACGGACAAACAGACAGGTGAAGCAAACAGCCAAAATGAAAACAAATGAGACAAAATTATTGCGATAATATAAAAACATCACAGTATAATAATAAAATAAGCACAAATATTCTCTCAATGAGAACAAAAATAATAAAAGTTCTGTTTGACTTAATGGTTTGAAAGATCTCGTAAAGGCCAACCACAACAATGGCCACAACGTGTAAGACCCCCACGCACACTAAGAATATTTCTACTTGTCGCACACAACTGCGAGTATGCAAATGAGGCAATTTTCACCCATTCGTCTCTCTTCACTCTTCACCGCTAAATGTTGTCATACTTCGCAGCCACCCGACGAATGGAAATGTTCATAATGGGCGTGGGGCTTAATTCCTACAGAGGGAACAACAACAACATAATTATTTCATTTGACAGCTTTAGACAACACATACCTATGTTCTCCCTCACTTTTTCTCTCCACTCAGGCCACAACCTGTGAAGTACATAGTCAGTAAAATACTGCTATGTTCTGTTTCATCTAGCTTACCCCTGTGTTGACAAGCCTTAGGCCAGCAAGTGCAATATTAACTATACCTCCCACACTAGAAGCTATAGAAACGAGCGCGCTCCTAATATATTATGTTACAATAATCTGTTTCCTTCATGTTATGTCAAGTACTACGATGATACAGAAACCCTCTGAGGAGCTTCTGACAATTTACCCTGCTTTGTTTCCTACTGAAATTTTTGTTAAAACCAGTTTAGTTTTTCACAATTAATAAAAATGTCCAAAAATTTCAAACATGCAAGTCGACAAATCCATACATTAATTAATGACATTCAGACAAAGAGCACAATCTCTGTCTGTGCATGTGCAAGATGTGACAATACTGAGACTGAGACATAAAACACACAAGCTGTTGACATACTTACTACGAAGAAGACATCCAAACATTGAAACATACAATCACATGTAGCAATATAGTACCAATTTTTGACACAATCTTTCAAATGGTTAAGGAATTGATAAATGTTTTTCTCATTTACATGGCAATCCACTTAAAAAATCAGGCCTGAGATTGAGATGACATCTTGCCATGTAGCAAAGGTGTTAAATGGAAAAATGTTATTTTTACACAAATGAGCAACAGAAAACATCATCTGAAGAGAGCCAGTCACAAACCTTCTTCATCAGTGAAACAAAGAAGAAAAAAAACCCCCCACCACACAACCAGATTATGTTTTCATAATGTCCTCCTTCCACTTAGGTATTGGACCAATTTGCACAAAAGGAAATGATTTAGCACAAAAATAGAGAGACCCTCCATAATGATACACAGCATCAAAATAATAGCACCAAATGTATTATTAAACACAAGAGGCAACAGAAAAAAATTATGTTAATCTTGCTTTTGAATATAAAGTAAGAATCTTATTCCACTGAGAGTATTAATAAACCAAAATACTTGTTTCCCCTTATAGTTTAAGTTTTTTACCCCAAAAAAACCTGTATATATAATATATATATATAATAAAAGTAAAAATACTGGGAAACATTTGAATTGAAATAAGGGTCATGACGGGGTGGAATCAGGCGCTTGCAAGTATTCGGGCAGATGGGGTTGATGGTATGATCTTAAAGCCTGTTCATTTGCCTTCCTTTTGGTAAAAAAAAAAATTATTGATCTATGTTAAATAGAATTCAGGATATTTGCGATTGAAGGAGGTCAGAGTCGCCTGGTTTCAGGGGTACAATTATCGAGAAAAAGGTCGCCAAAGTTGGTAACTTCCATAGCCTAAGAGTCCTTGGAAATAAAAAATGTACATTTTTTGTGCCTTTCATTTATGTTTTTCAGTAAAATCCACACAGAAAAGTGTTTTTAAATGGTCATAAAAGGAGTTGAGCCAAAAAAAAAAGAAGAAGAAAATTAGAAAAAAAATGCAAATTTCTTCGATTTCATTGTTTTGATGAGCGCCTGATTCACCACGATGCCTCACAAAATATGTACAATATAAACCACAGGGACATTCATTATATACAGTTTGCAACTTTTTCCTTGATGCTTTTTAGCAAAAAGTGAATGAACAATGGACAACACAAAGCTTACAGCTCAATACATAAAACAATTTTCCACAACTAGTGAGCATTGGTGCAAGACCAGGAACCTACAAAAGGCACTGCCAGTCGTTAGCATAATGTAAGGATCACACGAGTCCAGAACTAAAGTCACACCTGCTCTACCAACCACCTGTACAAGACAATAATAAGCACACATACACACACACTGACATTACTGAAAAACATAACTAAACACACTGACATTACTGAAAAACATAACCAAACCAGGCATTTTGATATCTTCAACTACCTGTGCAAGACGGCCACCCATTATCAAGGAGAAAAGTGGCCGTATAAGACAGGTGGCGGTCTTAGGCAGGACTGATCAAGATGAAGAAAACAAACCATTCCCCATTTACTTCTCAGATCCCAACTAAAGGTAGCAGCATTGTTGTTGTTTTCGTTGGTTTATTTCTGCTTTTTAAAACTTGTGTTGCTCATTTTGTGCAAGGGTGTCAATAAAACAAAAGGTGTCAGACGAGTAAGACCGATTACCATGTTTTAAAACAAACACATGGGTCGCCACCACTTGGAGAACAAGCATCGCTTCTGTTGAAAGTTCACGTTGACGTCCATTGTTACTTTGTTACAGACTGGGTAAACAGTGACCACTTATCTCACGTACGATTTGTGTACTGTATGAGTTCTGGGCGGGGCTTATGGGTCATAAGGGGTCACACGGTTACCTCACCAGCAGCTGAAAATTGGTACCTAATTGTCAACAGTGGGAGGGGTCAACGCAACATGATCGGTAGGAGGGACTACCTAACAACAACGACAGGTGATTGGATTATGACGGCTTGCCAACAATGCCAGGGGCCAACACATGATTTATGACAAAACGTAATGGAGTCACTAAGGTGGCCGTCTAAGACAGGGGTTATTGCTTGGTGTGATAGGGGTTGTGTGTTAAAATATGGTGGCCGCGGCCGCGTTGGACAGGTGCCCGTTTTACACAGTGAAATTAAATAGTAAAAATGCAAGGGGGGAAATGGAAAGTGGCCGTTTGTACAGGTGGCCGTCTTATAGAGGTGGCCGTCAGGGCAGGTTCGACAGTATTTTACAAGCATGATAAAGCTGGACGTTCAGATAAAAGAAAATACATCTCAGTTTGATTTCTTACGCTCTTCTGCTGCAACCCTTAACTAACTGATTTAATTCACTAATAATGATGTAGTCACCCGCAAACCAACTGAAACGCAACAACTTAATCACAACAAAAGAATACGGCAAAAAAGAAGCAAAATGTCTCAATGATGACGAGCTGCACAAAAAGAATTCTAGGAATGTAAATGAAGCTATTCACAAATGCCATGGAAATATCTGATTAATTAAATCTCCTTAAGAGTAAGTGACAGACACCCCCCCACTAAACATGTCATGTAATATCTTCTCTCATTCATCACCTGTCAGGAATAGACATTGTCTACTACCTCCGGGGAGCATGCAATAGGTATATGTGTACATTCCTCCCACATATAGAACTGACAACGATGCCAATAATACACATCCTGCCCAAATATATAACAGAGGTGCCAACTTGGTGAAAACAAGCTGGTTGTGAGACAGAAATGGCTACAATGTTTCACACGAGTTAACAAGATCTGTCGCTACAGTACCAATAAAATACACAAGCATGCTTTCACTGACACATACACACACCACAGGTATACAAAACACACACACACACACACATATATGCACACTGCACCCCCCCCCCTACACACACACACATACACAAAACAGACAAATACACAAATATACACGCAGACATATGAACACAGGAAGGAACTATATATCAAACTCTAGTCCTTTCTAATTATTTGCACCAAAAAGAACTATATTCACTATTGCAAGCTGCTTAAAACATCCCAAAGACAGAAACATAACAGAAAAAGCACCACACATCTTTAAAAAAGCTATAATATCACCTATCAGTGCACACCGACTTAAAAACAGGGGAGACAACTGATAAATTTACAACACTTCAATATATTCAAGCCCAAAAGTTTCAGTCCTTTTTCCTAAACACAGAAGTTTTTGGCTTTGCAACCTTTCTCTTCAGGCTTTGCAACCTTTCTCTTCAGGCTTTGCAACCTTTCTCTTCAGGCTTTGCAACCTTTCTCTTCAGGCTTTGCAACCTTTCTCTTCAGGCTTTGCAACCTTTCTCTTCGGGCTTTGCAACCTTTCTCTTCATTTCCCATCAAAATCTAAAAATAAAAACACACACAGCTCTCTCAAACTGTTACACCTTCCTTCTAGAAGCAGTAATGACTATGAAAAACTCTTCACCGAGTTGTATAAATGATTACCAACAAAACCTGATTTCCAGTTTTATTTAAAAAAACTTAATAAGCTATTTCCTTCCTATAGAAAGTCAAGCAATGTCAAGTCATGGGCCTAGCACCTCCAAATTTCAAGTCCATCTCCGATAGGAGTTAACCAATCCAGCGGAGAGCCTAATAACTCCCACAGTCAAACCAAATTCAAGGAACACCATTGAAGATTCCAACCAGGATCATCCACATCATAGCTAGCTTGAGACAAAGAACCAGGGCAAACGATATAGCTCACGCACAGAAGTTACAAAGAAGTCTCTAGTTTTCTGCTGTGCTTCTTTGAAAAACCACAAGAGAAAATAAAACCATCTTGTCAGAGAAAAAGACATGATGCATTCTATGTGTACTCACCTATACATACATGTTGGGAGTAGATGTCTGATGTGAATCAGTGTGATAACAGCCATCATTTTGTTCAAGATTAGTTTAGTTCTAGTCTTAGTACAAGTTTTACTGCACTTTCAACACAAATAGGTCACATAAGTGCCAAAGATCAAAGGTGATACTAGAGAGTAACCTACACAGAAAAGGATGCAGCAAACCTGCACTTATCACTACATGGCATTGGACAGAAGGGCGAGAGCCCAGCTGTTGCTGGATCGATAACAACAACAACAACAACACAGAAAAGAAAGAGAGATAAGACTGATGTATATCCAATATGAATGAAGGAGCAATCTCCAGGAAAGCACCAGCTAATAACCCACCCGTCTTGTCAGAATAAAAAAAGACAGCACACATTCTATGTATAAACACTCTAATATACAATGAGTAACTGTCGGCAGTGAGTCTAGATGATAACATCCACATGCTGCTGTACAGGAGAAACATGGTAATACTGAAGACTGTGTGAAGTTTGTAGGTAAAGTCAAGCATATCTACACGATAATGCCTATTTAGTGCTGGGAGGTGGTTTAGTTCAGTTTTTAGTTTTAGTTTTAGTAGTTTTTACCGCGCTCACAACTGCACAAGGTCAAATGAGCACCAAGGGGTGGATGTCAACAGAGAAATCCATACAGCTTACTCTGCTCACCTCTCTAACTTCAACAGCATAAAGTCTGCTTCGACTAACAAGGCACCCCGGAAATAGCGGGCCACAAGAGTGACAAACATACAAAAGAAGTAGAGGTAAAATGACGATAGTAAGGATTAGGAAAGAAAAAGCAGCAGTTTCCCTTTGCAGTTCAGGCACAGTATGAGCATGACATTGATGAATCAGCCCATTTCAAATTCTACTGTGCATAAGACAATGTCCCCCCCTCTGGGATTGGCCCAGAGACACTTCAGTCAGTAGCACTGTCCCAGGGGGTTATAGTTTAGTTTTAGTAAGAGTTTCACAGCACTTGAAACACAGTAAGTTCATATAAGTGCCAAAGATTAGAGGTGTTACAAGAGAGAAACAAACACAAAAAAGAGGCAGGAGAGGTCAGGAACATAGATCTTTGATAAGAAAGAAGGAGCAAACCACACAAGAGCACCCGCCAACCACCGGAGAGAAAAAGGTAAAACAGACGGAAACAACAGAGGAAAAGCAAAAGAAGTAACATAGGATCTACTCATGGTACCTTTCATACACCAGCATAACTAGCACAAGATGATGAAGAGAAATAGGCAAAGTGAGCTATGTATAAAGCAGTACTGGCCTAATGCACGAAAGATACAGAACAAAAAAAAGAAAAATAGCACACTGCTGCCATCTATGGGTTTTGATTTAGCAACACCGAGATCAAATAAGGACTGTAGGTAGTAATGCAAAACAAACCAGCTTCTCAGAACATAGTTTTTTTTAACAAAAAAATGATGGTGAGTGACTTATCATATGAAAAACCATAAAAATGAGGTCGAGTCATTTATCTTCAAGTAATGTGTATTAACATTCACCTGCAGTCCCCTCACACAACTCACACGTCATCTTCATGGTTACAGCACATTCACATCCCATCTCTCAGGAGCAACAGATCACTTCACACTTGCATTCAAAGCGGCAAACCACAACTTCTGAACAGCAAGATGTCCAACATCTTGGACAAAAGCATAAAAACTAATATGTGTCACGGCGCGGTAGAATCAGGCTCTGGTCAATATTTGGTCGTGTGGAGTTATTGGTATCCATTGAAAAGCTTATTCATTTGCAGTGCTTTCAATGAAAAAAATAACCGTCTATCTTGAATAGAAGTCGAGATATTTGCAATTGCAGAAGGTGGGGTCGCCTGGTTTCAGTGGTAAAATTACCAAGAAAATGGCTGCCAAAGTTCGGTAACTTCAATAGCTTGAGAGTCGTCGAAAACTGAAAGATTACATATTTTGAGCCTTTAATCAACATTTTTCAGTCAAATTCACACAGAAACGTGTTTTAAATGGACATTAAATGGTGTTTAGCCAAAATAAAACAATTCAATTAAAAATTGCCAAAAATCATTATTTTGATGAGCGCCTGATTTCACCATGTCTCACATTTTATTTATGCCACATGGGAAATATTCCCAAAGAAGTATGTCACTCAAGGCCGTCACTCAGACTTAGGCTACCACAACAGAGTAAATGACTGATATAATAGGTTGAAATTCACCACGACATAAGCGCTGCATCACACATATCACTATGTGAACAAACACTTCAGTCGCCACACTTTAAGGCCGGTCAAAATGAGGTTTAAATAAATCAAATGGAGACAGGAAAATTATTCCCACAAGGTGAAATTTTCCGATCCTGCTTGTGTCTCTTTACACCTGTTCAAAATCCTCCATTCTCTCATTAAGTATTCTCAGAGCATACAACTTTAAACTTCAAATATTACTTTTTGGTATTGATAATACATAACTTCAGCAAAATATAATAACCTCCTTTAGATCAGACCACATATGTGAGGTGTGCTGGCAAAATGAATTACTACTCACGATCCACAAAGGACGATATCGGCCGAAAACCGACACATCAAAATTTGCCGACTTTCGATTAATTCCATTCTCTTCAAGTTTAAATACGTCTTTATCATTTTATTAAACAAATTGTACAAATTCAAACTAAAAATTTGACGCATCTATGTCCATCGGGCTAAAATCCGAGAAGTAACTCATTTTGTCGGCATGCCTCACATATTATAATATTCACAAACATTTACATATCTCTATATCATATCACAGGGCCACCACAACTCACTGATCCTGCCAAACCACACTCAGGTACTGCTTATCCGAGTACAGATCTTTCACCACTGTCGCGAGGAACAGCAAGCTATCGCGGATGGTATGGTTCGGATCTTGCACAAACTCCACGGCATGGTCGATGGTGGAGGAGCACTGAGCGTATGTCTTGTTCTTCTTCAGGGCCCGCAGTTCCTGCAGTGTGTTGTTGCTGCCTTTCTTCATGGTTGGGTACACCCGGAGTATCTCAGCGGTCACCAGCTGGCAGGACAGAAAAGCCGAGAGGGCTCGGGCCAACAGCCGCATCCTGGGGAAATAAAGTAAATTGGCCATTATACAAAAAAATTAATCGTAATAATAATATTGGTACTAATTATAATAACATTATTAATAACAATTTTAATTATAATAATAATAATACTAATTATACTAACATTATTAATGATAATAATTGTCATTATTACAATTATAATAACAATATTAACAATAATAATAATAAATAGCATTTTTATAGCACAAAATCCCGCTCAACAACAAGCTATGTGCTTTAATATCTATACTATTACCCCAGTAGACCAGATAGTATTCTGAAACAATCTCAACTTCCTGGGGTGCATACAGTACAAGCAGCCATTTGACAGGCGTAAAAAAATTAACACACTAATAAAATCTCTCCCTGTCTATGGCCAGGTACCCATTCACACGTGGATGAAGAGAAGAAAATTTGTGTCAATATAGTGCCTTCCCAAGGGCACAATGTCGGGTCTGTGCCACGAACCTCCAAACCTGAAAACTCACGATTACGAGTCCGGTAGCCTAAGGGAAAGTGAAAGACTTGCATCCTAGCCCGATTACAAGTCTTGCGTCCTAACCCAACTTACTTGTACGAAAGTGAAGACTTGCGTCCTAGCCCGATAACTCCAAAAAAGCCGCGGCTGGTTCGGTCTTGGCCCAGAGAGTTCAAGTGGTTGCTGAACCGGCTCAGAACATTGACCACACCGGTGAGTGACGACCATGGAGCGTCCACTAGTCGCTGCGTCAAGAACAGCATCATATGCCACCACAAGATCAACTTGGATTCATCCTCCGCACTGGGGGAAAAAAAATTATGAAAGGTCAATAATATGACAAACAACATCATACACAAACACTGCTGTCACAAGAAGTGCAATCGGAAAAAATCCCAGAAAATTTGGATTTATAACTCATTACATTAGTATGAAAAAAAAATCAAAAGAGTTCTGAATACTGTTCTAAAGCCTATGACAACCCAACCATACAATACTCTTTTCTTCAACAAGTCTCAGCACTTGCCTCAGGGGTTGTAGTCTGGTACAGTATTAATGTAATGTAAACAAAGGCATGATGATACAAAAGGACAGGGATTTGTATGGCTCATATCCCCGACTTGTGTTAATACTGTTAAAGTTAGACAGCTGCACGTGACGTAGTGATGTAGACTGTCCAGGTCTGGTAATTTCTATTTTTCTCCCTTTATACACCAGGAAGGTTCGCAATCAGTTGGGGTAGCCAAAATTTTCAAAAGATCTGAATAAGGGGTATTACAATTGTATTTTCGTTAAATTGAATAAAAATTGTAACGATTTTGCCAAATTCGTTATGGTGGGCAACCCTGCAATGGACTAACAAGGCCGTGGTGGTAGATGACACCATGTGGAGTGTGAGAGTGTAAACAGAAGGAGGAGAGAGAGAGAAAGAGAGAGAGAGAGCAAACAAGACCAAGAGTCTTCACCTTGGCAAAGCTCGACAGGTCCAGTCCAGAATAGCCTCCATCAGCCCCAGCTCCTCCTCGGGCCTCTGACAGAAGGGCAGCCGGTGCTGCAGGTAAGCATACAGGACCAGGAAGGCGTTCTCCGATAGCGACTCCTGGACGTAGCCGGCCTGGTTCAGTTCGGGCACCTGGAACACCGTGAGGATGAAGCTCCAGCCCGTCGGATCGCTGCCGCTGACCGGGCTAGTTCCGTCCACTGTTCGAATGTAGCGGAAAGTGTAAAAGGTTACTACATGGACTTTGAAATACTGATTTTTCACTCCAAACTCATTTTTTTTTTTTTTTCAACCCGAGCTGAGCTTGATCAATAACAACAACAACAATAGTAACAACCCAAGCTAAGTAGGATATGGTACAACCCAGCAGAAAGATGGAGAGACTTGATAAAACATCTCCCACACAGGAATTGGACTCAGGTCTTCTGCTTGTTTTAGTTTTAGTAGAGTTTTTACGGCGCTTGCAACTGCATAAGGTCACAAGAGCGCCAAGGGGTGGATGTCACCAGAGAAACAGAGAAGTCCTTACAGGGAATCAGGCTTACTCTGCTCACCTCTCTAGCTTCAACAGCACAAAGTCTGCTTCAACTCTCGAGGCTCCCCGTAAATAGCGGGTCACAATAGAGTGACCAACACATAAAAGAAGTAGAGGAAAAAAGCATGACATTGATGAAGAATCAGCCCATTTACAATTCTACAGAGCATAATAACATTTTAATGTCCCCCCTTTGGGAAAGGCCTAAAGACACTTCAGTCAGTAGCACCATCTTGGGTCTTCGGCATGCATCAGAAAAGCACATAAACATTTTATTGCTGATGCCTGGGGTCCGTAACTGCATTATCATTTCTAGTCAGTAAATATTAAATTAAAATCTGTCTAGAAGCAAAACTGCAGAGCTGGAGTTCTTTCCTGTCTTTCGAATATTCTTGTTTGTTATTTTGGTTCAATCAGCCCATGAAAGATTATCCAATATCCAGCATATGCTAGGGCTTTTGAAAAAAAAAAGATTATTAAAAGCATAATCAGAGCAGTGTCACTGTGCTTGTTAACACTAAAACCTCATTTAGAAATAAAAATGAACTGGTACTATGTTGACCAGCGAAAGTTTGGTAAGCAGCCACATCATGGTCAGCAAGAAAAAAACGAAAAAACTTTTTCCATATTCATTTGTATGGTTTTAAAAAACCCATCATACACATCATAATGGTACTCAGTGCCGGAAAAAAGACTGTCAGACAGAAAAATAACCACAAACAGCTATAAACAATAACAACAATAGTTTGAAAAGAAAGAGCAAATCTCCGAGACCAAACCACTCACAGCCAGAGAAATACACTTCAATCCCTGCTTCCATCACTGCGGCCATCTGGGAGAGCGAGGCGAGACAGCGCGAGGCGGCCTTCATACACGGCACCAGCAGGATGCTGTGCGGGGAGGAGCGGAGCCAGCCAGTCACAGACGACATGATGACCTCCAGCCACGGCCCGTCTGGGTTGCTGTTGTTCAGCAGGCTCAGCACATCCTTCAGCAGGCTCGCTGACTCCTCCGCTTGGATCTCCGGGGAGGGAACTACAAGACAAAAAAAGGTTTTGTAGATAAGAAAGGAGTCAAGGAGAAAAGTGGTTGTCTCAGACAGGTGGGACATCTAACACAGTCTCATTATAAAGTTTTAAAAAGCAGGGGGGCGGGGATGGGAAGTGGCCATTTGTACAGGTGATTGTCTTATACATGTGTCCCTTAGAGCAGGTTCAACTGTATCATAAAGATTAGTTTTAGTTTTAGTAAGAGTTTTACGGCACTTGCAACACAATAAGGTCATATAAGTGTCGAAGACTAGAGGTGTTACAAGATAGTAACAAACACAAAAAAAGAGGAGAGATCAGGACAAAAGATGTTTGGTAGGAAAGAAGGAGCAAACCACAACAGAGCACCCACCAACCACCTACATCATAAAGTTAGGATAATATTATTCATTTCAGTTGAAAAGCTTCACGATATGAAAATGGCAATTTATGGAAAAGTGGAAAGTGCTTCGTGGGTGCCCTGACTCTGATTCAGAGTGAGAAAGGCAATGATGATAATAATAACAATAATATAATAAATAGAATTTGTATAGCGCATATCCCTGCTTGACAGAAAACAATGAGCTTTACAATCTATATGTGACCCGACGCATAGGAATCAGGCGCTTGTCAATTTTTGGGCAGGTGGAGTTATTGGTATAATTTTATAGCTTGTTCATTGGTCTATGACTTGATGAAAAAAATACTCAATTAGCTTGAATTTAAGTCAAGATATTTGCGATTGAAGGAGGTTGGGACCTCCTGGTTTCAGCTGTAAAATAAGCAAAGAAATGGCTGCCAAATTACGGCGACTTCCAAAGCTTGAGAGTCCTTGGAAACTCAAAATTTACACTTTTTGTGTATTTAATCAACGTTTTTCAGAATAAATAGAACAGAAATGTATTTTTAAATGGAGATAAAAGGCCAAAAACAAAAAAAATGAACAAAATTGCCAAACCGCTGGGGAAAACGCCAGTATCTTCGACCTAATAAATTTAACGAGTGCCTGGTTTCACTATGATGCCTCACATATTTCTTCCAAACAGACCCAAAAATGCTTTAGTACAAGACAAGAGACTTGAGAGAAAAAAAATAATCAAAAAATAAAACAAACAACATACCGGAAGACTCCACGGCCTCCACGTCAGACATGAGGTTGTTGATGGCAGTGCCCACAGCGTCGGTGCTGACGTCACTCAGGTAGGTCACCTGGCACAGCTGCTGGGTGAGGCAGTGGATGAAGCTCAGGCGTTTCGTCGAGATCTGGTCAGTCCACGGGACATCCGGCAAGAACCCAGACATCCGCTTCAGAACCCTGAAGTAACAACGCAAAGACTCATTATCATTATCATCATCAAATTTGAAAAAAAAAAAATTCATTTTACTGATCTGTTTTTTTCTTGAAGAATAGTTTCAACTATGTTGACACATCTATATACCTTGCAAATATTATCAGCACCAAATTAGGGACATACAAAAAAAAATTATAATAAAACAAATCAGGAGCCTTGATTGACATAAGTGATTGGCAAAACCATCTCAGCTTATGGCATTAGAAGTAGTATCTTTTTAAACAAAACGACAAAATGAAAGATATTTATTTTCCATTTATTTGAGGCATAAAAACATCCTTCATACATCAACACGGTACCAGGTCAAACAGAATAAGCTCGCAACTGCTGGCTCAACAGTAGCAGCAACAACAACAGTATGAACAAACAATAACACAGCTACAAAAACAACAGCAACAAAAACAAGAGCTCTCTTCTCAGGGTTGAAACAGGTGCCACAGACAAATTACTGACTCTGTTGCTATCTTAACCCCACCGCGACAAACGCATACAACAACAAAAACAACAACAATAACATCAACAGAAATGACAAAAAACAATAACATCAACATCAGCAACATCAAAAACAATAACATTAACAACAACATTAACATAAACAATAATAATATCGACAACAACAGTAACATCAAAAACAAAAACGACAACAGCAAAAACAACAATATTAACATCAACAACAACAACAGCAACAACAACAACAACAGCAACAACAACAACAACGGCTTACCTGAGTCCCAAGGCTAGATTGGAAGAGCGCTGGGCCAGCGCACACTTCGGCTCAGCCAGCTGTAGAAACCAGCTGCAGACACAGGAGAAGCCATCTTGTCTCACCAATGACCAATCAAACGTCTCTGCCTCCGTCAACAGACGACACGTGTTTTCATCCTGTGAAGGAGGACAGAAAAGTGCACTGTGACCACGACACATAATCATATTATCTTATCATAAAATAGATAGCCATAGTATAAACATATGTGTCACAACGTGGTGGCGCTCGTCAATTTTTGGGCACGTTAAGTTATTGGTATCATCTGAAAGCTTGTTGAGTTGACTTGTCTATCTTTCGATGAAAAAAACCCAACCCATCTATCTGGAATAGAAGTCTAAATATTTGTGATTGACGAAATAAAATTAGCGAGAAAATTGACATCAAAGTTTTCCACAACTTGAGAGCCCTCGATAACTGAAAATGTACATTTTTTGTTCTGTTAAGTACGTTTTTCAGTAAAATCCGTGCAGTAATGTGATTATAAACATAGGTGCCACTCAGGAATTTCAAAAAAGGAGGAAATTTACGCGAAGGTGTACGTGAGCTCTCCGAAGACCAGAGTAAAACCAGTGAGATCCAGAGGCAATATACCGGAAAATCTACCCTACGGTTTTGGAAGGGAAAACTGTCATATATTTGTTAACCATAGACAACTGAATTAAAATGTATTTGAAAAAATTAACAACAACAAACAAACAAACAAACAAAGGCACTAAGTTGACTAACAAGCATTTGAGTCATTTTGACACAGTTTGGACTTGTGGACTAAAAATCCAGTGATAGTTGCCAGCTGGTGTCTCATAAAAAGATTTCTTTCCCTTTAAACTTGTACATTGATGTAGAGCAGTATTGGATCAAGGAGGCAACACCTTTGCCGCTGTACTGAGCGATTTCGGCACGCCTGTACAATTGCGGTCCCGTTTGCACTTAGTGCCCCTGTAGTGTTTCTTATTTAGTGATCTAATTGAATTAAAATTATAGCCTAGGCTATCTAATCTAGATCTAGAATCTAGATATCTAAAATATGTGTAGACCTAGATTATACCAAGATCTAGATTCACTTCCACAGCCACAATAGCCGTCATGTAAACAAAAGGGACCACAATTGTACAGGAGTGCCGCGGGCCGCGATTTCTTTAGCGCACCAAACGCAAAGTGCAGCAAGCGGCTAGTTCAATTTTCAAATGAACTTTTCAAGTCGCACACCAGCTGCTTCTTTCTCATTCCAGCTCCTTTTACGGTTGCATTCTGCATCAATTTCTCTCAAATTCCCGCCGTTTTCAATGGCAACTCGGCGCGCCAACGTCCCGATGCCCGATTGACACTGTGTTGCTCCACAACGATAAACAATGTGAAACTAGCGCTAGGCCTAGAAGAACGGAAGTAGAAAGCTTCGGGCGGACTTGCGCAAGCCGTGTTTTTGTCTATCTCCCGGTTCGGTGTTATCCGCGGGGGAAAAAAAGTAGCGCATTTTGCGACCGAGAGCGGTCCAGCGGAGGAAGGAGGAAAGTAGCGGGAAAAGCTAGATGAAGCGGAGTTTCCGCCATTTAGCGGGAAAGTGGCAGCTATGTATAAATGAATAAAAAAGGTGTTGAGCCTAAAAGCAAATATTGATAAAATGATCAAATTGACAGACAAATTTATAATGCAGTGATCTTCGATTTCATTATTTTGACAAGAGCCTGATTTCACCCTGATGCTTTGCATATGTCTACTACATATAAATGTACATATTGGAACAATCGCAAAAAAAATGTCACGGTTCATTTAACCCTGCTGCAGATGGAATCCACAAGGACTGAGAAAGAAAGGAAAGCCTTTAAGTACTTGGAGGGGGAACTTAGCTACGGACCTGAAACAGGTTGGGAGGAGGAGGAAGTGGAAATTATCGTTTAAAGTGCCTTTTTGAGTGTGTGTGTGCGTGTGTGTGCATGTGTGTGTGGAGGTGAGTGTGCATGTATGTGCGTGCATGTGCTTACGTACTTGTTAAATGGTCTCACAATATACATTTTCTGTCTTTTGATTGGGCATTAGTTCTGTATGATAATTCTATATTGTATGGCCATGAAAGCCGTGTAGGGATTAAAGCGTTTTATAAATCATCATTGTTGCCATTATTAACTACAATTCAAGCGAACAACTCTTCAGACCTCGGAGAACGTCGGGTCCACGTAGGACTGCACCAGAAGTACGGCCAGGGAGGCCACCATGCGAGACGCCAGGTCTGGGTGCAGCTGGCTGGAGAAGTGGCTCATCACCTCCCTCCACTTAATCTGGGGCAAGATGTGACCAACCAGAGCGTAGCAACATGTTGAGGCTACCTCCTTGAGCTGTGGAAGAAAGAAAGAAAGAAAAATTCAGGTTTCATTGATACTTCTCATTTACGGCAAAAATAATTAAGTGTAGAATTGAAAAATTGGAAAAGTATGGGTGTATGTGGCGAGGAAACGGGGGTCATGAATTGGACATGCTGGGTCAGAAAAGGAGTCTGAGCTTTAATAAAGAGAAGCACTTCAACAAATTAATAGTCAACAGTGCAGAGAAGAAGTGAGACAGATAGAAACAACAGAGGGAAAGAAAACAAGTAGGACCTACTAGACAAGCCCAACAGCCACCCACCCGAAAATAGAGAAGAGGTTCAATGAAAGAGGACTAAACAGACTGTGATCAGGAAGAATACAAAATAAAAAATAATCCAACAAAACAATAAGACAAAACAAGAAAAGAGAAAAAGTCGGTAAGAGAGACTGAATCAAATTCATATTTATAAAAAGGAAATTTAAAAAAGCAGCATCCCAGTCCCTACTTTTGTCATTGTTTCCAGCAGCTGTAGGTCTGGCCACAGACATTTCCACGGCAGTTCCTTCAGTTCGTTGACATAGACATCAGACACATGAGCGGGGGTAACCTTGGTACTCAAGGCCGTCATGTAGTACATGAGGAGAAGGGACAGGACTCCGCCCGAAGATGTCGGGTGCTTAGCTGAAAAAAGAAAAAACAAACAAATATTAGATTGTAGGAGGTTTAATTCGACGAAATCGTTACTAAATCCGTTATTAAATCAAAACAAGTGAACCTATTTTGATAGTTCTCCATCTAATGAGTGAAATCCTGATAAAAGAGACATGTTTTCTGCAACTGCCGAATAGTAAATTGATGTCGAAGTCGCCGTAAAGGAATGTTCCAGAGCCCAGCTCACTAGCACAGGGGTTCCGACAGCGAGCCGCTGGGAGTGGCTTGCCGGAGATTAAGAGTAAAAAGGAATACAGCTATGACAGAACACACTCATATTATACAATTCTGCACTATGTCTCATTACAGCAATGGGTCATTTTTAGCCCTCACTTCCCTGTGGCCCAAGTTATGCTGGAGTCTTTGACTCCTCAGGCCCAGCCAATACTGGAGATGTCTGTAACTTTTTGCAGAATTGAAAAAAAATATTTCTATACTGCTTTTGTTTGAAATCTTAGAAGATAGCACATGGAATATTTGTATCATGACGCGGTGGAATCAGGCGCTTGTCAATTTTGGGGCATATGGAGTTATTGGTATCGTCTTAAAGCCTGTCCAATTGTTTTGCTTTTGAAGGAAAAAATATCCATTTATCTTGGCCACAAGTCAAGATATTGGCGATTGAAGGAAATGGGAGTTGCCTAGCTTCAGAGGTAAATTAGCGAGAAAAAGGCCGCCATTTGCATCATTTCCTTAGCTTGAGAGTCCGTTCAAACTGAAAATGTACATCTTTTATGCCCTTAATCATTGTTTTTCAGTAAAATCCACAAAGAAATTAGTTCTCTAAAGGGCACAAAAAGGTGTTGAGCAAAAAATAAAGAATTCGATAAAAATTCACAAACCTGCGGAAAAATTCCAGTTTCTTCACTTTCATTATTTCAACGAACATCGATTTCCCCACAATGTCTCACATTTTTCAGAGACAATTGGATAGATTATGGGGGGAAAAAATACCTGACCGAGTTTGAGGAGGCCAGTGTTCTGTGAGGGAAATCCATGCGACTGGACATGGGGGAATAAAAACTTGTGAGGAAAATGTAGAAATGCGACTGGGGCTGTAACGGATAACATTTTGAACCTATATAACTGGTAAACTGTTAAGGATATATTATTATGTCTTGGCATCCTGTACAAGAGGGGCTACTGCATTGGAATCCAAATACATACTTGACACACGGCGACTCAAATCGCAAATTCAAAACATTTGTGACAAAACTAAATGGGCAGAATACACACAAAAAAAAAAGAAGTGTGAAAGAAACCCTGAGTACAATATTCTACAATGGGAAAAACATCCATACAAAAAAAACAACATATGTGAGGCATTGTGGCGAAATCAGGTTAAAATAATGAAATCAAAGAAATCGGCATTTACCAAGTACTCTCAGGCTATGGAAGTTAACAAACTTTGGTGGCCATTTCCTCGCTATTTTTACCTCTGAAACTAGGCGAGCCTGACCTCCTTCAACTGCAAGTAACTCGACTTCTATTCAACATACATAGACATTTCTTTCATCGAAAGGAAGGCCAATGAACAGATTTTAAGATGATACTAATAACCCCATATGCCCAAAAATTGACGAGCGCCTGATTCCACCATGTCATGTTAACGTTAGAAAACTGTAATAAACGAAACAAATTCACCGCCCACCATGCATCAGCTGATACAGGTGCAGCACCGATTTCTTCAAGGACGCCACCATGATGACCGCCTGAGTGCTGTCCCCTTCCAGCCAGGGCGCGGTCATCTGTCCATCTGGAGTGACCAGTGGCTGGAGCCAGGGGGAGTACACCGAGATGACCGGCTGCCACACCAGCTCCAACACTGACAGGTACAAAGAGGGGGAAACTTTATCTATCTATCTTTTTATCTATATTTGATATAGCTAATGCATCAATCCTCTTGATCTTTCTGTAAACCTTTCTATCTATTTACCTAACCTATCTATGTATCTATCTTTCTACCTGTTAACTCTTTGACTACCATGGGCCGATCTATTGGCTCCATAACTTCCTAGTTCGTGCGGCTCGCGCTTCTCTTTCCCTTTCCCTTCCACAATTTGACTCAACCTTTCAATTGCATGTTTGTAACTGCTCTGCTTACCATACATCAGTGAACCAGTGAAGGAATTTAGCGCCTTTTGTGTTTTATTCTGCTGTTTTGGGGGCATTTTTTCATGTTTTTTGACCCGTCCTGTGTTGCCCGAATTAGTCTACAGGCATAGCAACTGCAAAATGGCTGATAACCCATCAGGTACCCGCCCGTCACAACGTTTTTCTGCTTCAAAAGCCCTGGAAAAGTTTGATGGGGAACTGTCAGTACTTTCCGATAGTGATGTAGAAGGTGATGAAGTTAAACCTGAGTCGGACAGCAGCGACAGCGATGAGAATGACGATTCGCAAAGAGGGGCGTGTGTGCAGCGTTTTTTTCTCTTTTTTTCATTGTGAGTGATTTCACCAAAAGTGCGACAACTTTGTATATACTTGACCATTGTGCATGAAACTTGGCCCAGTTAGAGACAATTGGATATACTTCAGTATGACCAAGTCATGAAGTGATTGGATTTAGCAGCTATACACTGTGAGAAATGAAAGTTGAAAATATTTTTTTTATTTTTTTATTTTTTTCACCTTGTGTTCACTTACCTCCTATGTTTGTTTGGATTTAAGATTTTTTTCAATTTTTTAATTAGATTAAAAATATTCTACATTCAATTACCTTCATTTTAGTATATAACATGTCTGACTTCCAGATGGAATTATACCCATCGGACACAAAAGAAGAACAGGGGTAATTCTGAAATTCTAAGACTAAGAAATGCCTTGGTCACAGCGCGGAAAATGCCTTGGTAGTCAAAGAGTTAATATACCAATATATATTTTAGTTTAAATTTTAGTAAGAGTTTTACAGCACTTGCAACACAATAAGGTCATATAAGAGCCGAAGAATAGATGTGTTACAAGAAAGTAACACACAAAAAAGGAGGAGAGATAAGGATGATAGATGTTTGATAGAAAAGAAAGGAGCAAACCACACCAGAGCACCCACCAACATAATATTTATTTGAGATATGTACGTGAGAGTGTGCGAGGGCGCATACTTGGTTTATGCAACTGAGGGCACTGCAACAACTTCCCCTGCTTAGAAAGGCCAAGTACATTGAACCATTAATTAGGCTAAACAACTATGAACAGCTGATTTATACACTGAGACAGAAATTTAAAATAAACTGGATGGCCATGGCAGTCATAGTGGAGTTAAAATGAATACAGACCAATAAACTTTTCAGTCAACTTTTAACTTTTGTTAGTATCACAAACTAAAAGAGAAAAAAAAGTCCTGGTTGTTAAAGTAGCTTTAAAAAAAGCAAGGCAACAAGGTGAAAAGAGTGGGGATACGAAGAAAACAGACCTACAACATAACCATCCCCATCCACTGAAAAGAAAAACAAAAAACAAAAAAAACCCATCCACATCCCTATATCGGCCACTTAGAAAAAAAAACCCACTCGTCTTACCCTGGAAAGGTTGCATCTCTTCAGAGCCGTTGACGACCTTTGTGATGAAGCTCTGAGCCAGCGCACCAATCATGAGGCCAAGGTAGGGCACGTATCGGCTCCAGTGAGAGTACAGGCCAAAGTTCTCAGACCCTCCAGACATTTTGGCATGACTGAAGAAAGCTCCCAGCCAGTCCAGTAGTTCTTTCACCTGTACAGAGATATCAAGATCACAAGATTATTGTTATTGTCAACCCACAGTCGTTGAGACTGTGAATTTGGTCCAGTGTCGTGTTCAAAAGTTCTTTTGGTTGCCACAAAATAGGTTACTGTTTTGTTGTTGGAATGAGAGGAATATGTTGCCATCCAAGATCCTATAACTTGGGACATTCGAAGAGCAGATGTTGGACTCTTTCATTGCTGTGGTCACAAAGTAAGCACATTTTGGTTTTTCTCGGTAGATTCTATTAAGGTGATTGTTTAGAGGTACGAGTATGTCATCGCTCTTGTGATAAGACCAGCTAACCCACAAAATATCGATTTTACACGTATCGGAGATGGACATTAAATTCTGAGGTCCTGTCCCTTAAATAACATCACATTGATCCAAATGACGCTAGATCTATACAATTTCACAAAATTTTTCCATCTTAATTGTAGAAAGAATACACAAAACTTTGTATTTAGTATATGTTTTACGGCGCTCGCATCTATGTAAGGTTATATCGACTGCTTCGTGTAAGATTGGACCATACACCATTTTGATAAATGACGCATGACAAAGTCTTACACGAAGCAGTTGATTTGAGCACTAATCGACAATCCGCCTACCTGCACAGTGGACATAGGACTGTCCACGCACGCCTCCACCTTCGCCGCATCAAACACGGAGTCCGTCCTCTGCCTGGTCTCAGCGTCGTCGGCGGTGTGAACGACTCTGTCCGTGAAGCAACACCGGAGCAACGTCTCCCACACCTGGGTGTGCAGGCGCTCAGCTGCTGAACCTACAGGGACAGACATAGGGACTTTAGCACTCTGTTGTCACATTTGGGGACGTCACTAGGATTTTGTGAAAAGAAGAAGAAGAAAAGAAGAAGAAGAAGAAAAAGAAGAAGAAGAAGAAGAAGAAGAAGAAGAATGATCCTTATTATCAAAATAATAATGAAGTGCATTTTTATAGCGCCTACTCCTGTGTACAGATAGCTCTAGGTGCTTTACATAAATCAATGTGCAAAACAACAACTGTGGAAATCAAAAACAAAACATTATACGAAGGGCCACCCAAGACTGAGAGGGACACAATGTCCCAGCTCTCACCTTTTCCTCCCTCATTCCCCCTCCCACTTCCTTGTAAAATGAATTCAGAGGTGCCAACTAGCTATGCAAAAAATACAGAACTTTTCAGACCCCATGAAAATGCACACATGGAGGCTCAAAATTTATGGATTATATTGTCCAATACATCTTGTATCAAAACTATTTCTGAATAAAATGCTATTCCACCTGCACAAAGAACATTTCAGAAATCCGGATTACCAGATTGCTATGGATTTCTCCGGCAAATTGGCACCTTTGAAAACTGGTCCACATAGCACTATATATTCCTCCCCACGGCGCTCATATGACCTTATGCACTTGCGAGCCCTGTAAAATCTCTACTAAAACTAACTAAAAAAACCATATTCCCCCCATAACTTCTCACCTTGCAGAACCATGTTGACCACCAGGCACAGGTTCGACGGGAACCGACTCTCCAGGAGAGCAGCCAGGTGAGCCAGGTACAGCTGAGGAGACAACGATAAGACAGACTTTGTTGACAGGTTTGTTAATTTCCATTTTTCTCTGGGATTTTGACGCCATTGACTTGAATTACAATAATATCCTTGACCCGGCATAATCATGGCTGCCAGTCTTGGCTCTCTTTTAAAAAACTTTGCTGTGCTGGTGTGCATCATGGACGTGCGCAAATGGACAGCAGAACATCAATCTCGCTTCAGTGAAGTGCTTGCGCAAACCTTTCTTCCCCTCTTACCCTTTATTTGTTTTCAGATAGAGTCAAATGGTGTGCTCCATTGTGAATCATAATTACGCCAGAGTGCACAGTCTTGGATATTATAATACAAGTCTATGTGAGGCGAAGAGGTGTACTCCGAAAAAACAATAGTCATAAATACGTCAGGGAAAAAACAGACAAGAAATAGAGACATCAAAAGAATTGTAAATAAATAAAGACTTACCAGCAGTACCCTCCAACAGCTACCACATTCTTAAAAACAAAATAACCAAACTCTCCTACTTCTCTTATTCAATATGTATTTTTTTTAGTCTACAATGGCAACATGGGCAGTTCACAACACTGACAAGAACTACTCACCCCGAACACCAGTTTAGAATTGGCCTCGGGTTCGGCACCACAAGCCATCATGGCTGCCCCGAGCGACTCCACCAGCATCTTACGCTCCGCCTCGCGAGGATTGTGACTCTCTAGCCACTGACGGATGTCGAACTGAAAACAAACGCAGCAGGAGAAAGAAAAATGTTTACTTGATAGTAATTCTATAACTTCATTGGAACAAGGCCTTAAGATAAAATAAGATGGGATAAGTTAGCATTTTACTAAGCTCTCTAGCCAATGACAGAAGTCAAAAGACAAACACAGCAGGAGAAAGAAAAGTTTTTACTAGTAAGTAATCTATAACTTCTTTGGGACAATGAAGATGAGATAAGATGAGATAACATTATACTGAATCCCAAAAAAAGAAATGTGTTTGGGATGGTAAATACATAAGACTTACAGGCATGGGTACAAGTCAACACACATACACACCCTCTCTTCTATACTTGTATTACATGATGCTTTCCCAATATACAATATCTATTCTAGATTTATTCCATTAACCCTATTCACCACAGCACAAAAGTAATTTTACTACAGACCCATACCTTGGTGAGCAGCATAAAGACCAGCTCCATGTTCTGGGCCTGCAACACATGCAGCAGCTGACCGTACATGGTGACCAGCTGAGCCGGGCAGCTGTTGGGCACGAAGTGGGGGGACACCAGGCCCGACACCTTGGGGTTCTCCAGGCACAGCTGTAGGACTGCCTCTGTCTGAGCCGCGTCACGAGACACAAACTCCTGGGGGGGGGGATGAATGGATTAGGTTGGGTTTTTTTGTATTTTGTTTGATATTTTTAAATTTAATTTTTTTTTTTTTTCTGGTTTGATGTTTTGAGTTTTAGTACAGGTTTTACGGCACTTGGAACATAATTAGGTCATATAAGTATCGCCAAAGATTAGAGGTGTATTAGACAGTAAGTAACATACACAGAAAAAAGGAGCAGAGATGTGGAGGATGATAGATAGTTGAACTCTTTAATATACGGAATGCTGTTCCACCGTTTGCTTGCTCTCAGTTTTTTAATCCAACTATTCAGTGTCACAAAACCCCCTACAACCCTGCCTTTATTTAACATTCTGCAGACACACAGCCAGCAATACAAAATACCCCATTTAGTCACCCAGCCAGGAGAGTGACTGCAACGGACCTCATAGGCCTGCTGCGCCAGGTGACCGCTACGGATAAATTTCACCGGGGCATTATTTCGCCAAGTGACTGCAAAGTGTTAACAGCAATTGACTGACCTGGCCTAGGATTTCCATGCACGAAGCAAAGAACTGTTTGGTTGGAGGATAAAAGTTGACCTCATCGCACACCATGTCAGCCAGACGGAAGAAAAGGTCACAGGCGATATTATGAAGGCGTTTGACACGTGAGGTATCACTGCTGCGCTGACTCATTTTGATGAGCATGCTGCCAAAATAAAGGTAATAATAATATTAATGATAATAATAATTATAATAATGATAATAATAACATTAGTTTGTCTGTCAAGGTCTGATAATGGCCAAAGCATCTGCAGAAAAGAATATTTAAAAAAAAAATAAAACTCAGCACTTATCAAATGCAGAGCTATCAAAAATAAAAAGGTGACTGAACAGAATTATCAAAAGGAATAAATAAGAAGAAATAACTGGAGGAAGAACAGGAAAAGAATGAAAAGACTACAAATTAAATTGTCAGTCATGGGTCATGATGCAAGAAAAACAGTATTCAAAGATGTGTCTTTAGTGTGCCCAGGACTTGGTCACAAACATAATTCAATAATTTCATTCAACTCTTCAGCGCAAATCAGAAATGCTTTCATAGACTTCATAATTTCTAGCGAAAGTGTATTCTTTACATATTCAGTATATTGCATTGAAAAAAAAAAGTAGCTATCCAGCCTGCATTCTGCATTCTTTCAGTTACCGGCTCCACCTTTGGTGACCCCTGGTCTAAATAAAATACAACACAAAACTCTGGTCAAAAACAGAAAATTCTTAAGCCATCAAGCAGTGTCAAGCAAACACATCTCTAATTTACCATCTTGACAGAGAACAGCTAGCTACGTACGTTATGGCATTCTCCGTGTGAACTGCAGCCACGCAGATGTGGGGAGCAGTGGGCAGCAGAGACTCGATCATCACCTGCTTGTACTCTGCACGGTTTTCCTCGATTCTGCGGTTCATCATCTCATTCATCTCCTTGCTCTCAATCTGGGGAGGGAGACCATTCGACAGATTCTTGTATCCAGCCGTCAAAGTAATGTAATCAAACACATATGCTGAATGTAAGTTTGAGGTTTAAGTGTATATTGTTCATATTTGTGACCACTTTCGAGAGTCTGTGTATTTTTCGAGTGTGTGTAAGGAGATCTAGTAGAAAAGATATTTATAAAATCAAACTTCCACCAATGCGTCATTGTATTCTAATGCTCTGAGAATGCTGTGTGATAATCGTATTGTGATAAACCACTTGTTCAAACATGCATTCTAATTTTCTCTCTCTCTCTCTCTTACTATCTCAGTCAATCCCTATACTTATTTATCTTTTTCCTAAGTCTCTCAATGTATTTTGTCTCTGATTTTCACTTCCCCTTCAACAAAACACAAAAGCTTTTAACGATAGCTTCCACACTGAGTTCCCTCAAAGACATTTATAGATTTGTACATCACCTTCCAAAGAGAAGTGCTCACTCACCTTCACAGGCAGCACAGCAGGACCGGTACATCTGTGCAGAGGGTTCACCTTGCTCTTGCACGGTGCATTCAACTGAACCTGCAAAGAGTTCAAACAAAACAGACTTACAAGAGAGTGCCGTACAGCTCATCGTGAGGTGTGAAGGTCGCCTTTCTCTATTGTCCCATTGTTCTGCCTTCCCAGGGCATACGGATGTATCTGACAAAATCAGTTTTATTGGTATTATTATGTTTGTTACATTAGTCTTGTTCACATCCTTTTTGTGTTAAAGGCAGGACACTGCATCTACATGTGAAATAGTAATTTTCCATCATATTTAGAAAAATTCATAACTTTGGACGATTTAAGCACCATTTTAAACGAAAATTTTTTTCTCAAAATCATGAAATGTACAATCTTTGCGGGGGGAATCCCCCCCCCCCACCCCCCTACATAAAGAACCTATAGGGTGAGGAAGAAGTACATGCACGTACCGTTTTGGTGAGGTTTGCCCACAGATTAGGGATGAGTTCCAAGTAAACATTGTCCAGGGCACAGTGCTGAGCACAGCGGACAGCAAAAACTCTGAAGCGAAGGAGACAAGATAAACAGACAGTCATAAACACAAAGAATAACCACTTTTTAAAATTTCAGACCTGTCAATGCAAAATATTTTTTCATGTCTTTTTTTTATTTTTTATTAGTTGATATCTTTCTCAACTCCAGACAGGCTCTTTTTTTATCAGGACTGACAGTCATAGCAGACGCATACATCCATAACTAGGTGAATACAAGAAACACCAGTGACTGTGGAGAACAAATTTATATTCTAACACTATTTTTAAAAATATACAAAAATTGCATTTTTAGCTCAAAAAATCAAAAGTAAAGTCAAAAGCACTGGCACCAAACACTGGTACATGGACCTTCACACAGAAGGCCTGGCCTGAATTCTGTGAATCTGGAAAAGGGGGACATTGTTTGGTGATAGACAGTGAGCACCTAGAAAAACGCAGATGGGGAAAAAAATATGCCAAAGATAGGAATATCTTAGTGTCACTTTGGACAATTGGTGAATTTATAAACTCTCTCACAACATAATATACAAACATATCAAACATTACTGGTTTCTTTGGTGTACCACCATTAGGTGCTTCACTGTCGCACACAGAAGACCCGAGTTCAATTGTTGAAAAGAGAGAATTTTTATTAACACTTTGCCATCACAAGGCTCATATAGTAAAAAAACCCTGCCACCAAAGGCAAAGGCATTTTGTGGAAAATCCAAAGAAACTGGGTGGTAAACATCGCCGATCGGCGAGATGTGAAGGCAAAGTTTTAAGTATCTTGGTCTTTTTTGCTGGGATGTTGCATCCCTCAAGACCCTGGTTGACCAAACCCATCTCCTAAATGATCTAAATTGTGTCAATTCGGGGATAAAAACATGTAGAGTGAAAAAAAAAAAAAAAAAGAAACAATATCAAACATCAGGAAGACAACATACTTGGTGAAGTGTGTGAGAACTTGGAGATCAGAAACCAGGAGATGGTTCAGCGCCTCCTTGTCTTCCAAAATGGCCGTGCTGATTTCTGGCACAGGGCTGGCCACATTCTGGATGGCCGGCGCTGGCTTGGGCGTGTCATAGCGTCTCAGGCGACGAGTGATCCGCTCTGTGGCTGTTGGGGACAAGTTTCAACTCTCATCATCAAGGTTGGGCACAGAGATTTGGGCACAGAGATTTTCCGTTTTTTGGGGGGTTTTTTAGGTAAGTGTTTTATGGTGCTCGCAACTGCATAAGGACAGAGATTTTAAAAATACAGTCAAACCTGGTCTAACGGCCAACTGTCCAAGATTATCACCTGTATAAATGACCACTCCTCACTTCCCCCTTTGTGTGTTTTTTCTTTCCTTTTCCTTTTTTTTTTACATTATGATGACACTATCCAAGATGTCCACCAGTCCAAAACAACCACTTTCCTCTTACAAAAAGGATGCCCATCTTGGACAATTTTAACTGTATTTGCCATCAGAAGTGAAAATTTGCTGAAAGGATAAATTAATGAAATCAGCGTCTACGTACTAATTTTCCAGGAAGACTAAATTAAATTATTCTGGGAAACTAAATCAGATTCAAATTTAAAATAAGAATATGGGAGAGTAATTATTACTACATGATATTGACATCTCTTTTTTTTTCCCCTTCATCAAAACAGCAGGAACAATTAAATTTTACTTTAGTAGGAATTTCATGGCACTTGCTACACAAATAAGTCATCATCCAAATGTTTTAACGATTAAATAAACATTAAGCTTCATGTTCCTGTGACAACAACTTCTCCCTCACCGTCCCCTTGCTCGATCATAGTGTTCCTCCTCTCTGCCGCGGCCGTGTACAGCGCTGTCTTAGAGCACGTCAGTCGCTTCCTCCAGTCCGCTGCCAGACAACTCAGCGTGTACTGGACACCATCCAGGTCCACAAACTCTATCCAAGGACCCTACATACGAGACATAGGGAAAGTTTGAGATGAGTTTGTGTTAGAGAAGCCAGCCAATTCTGCCGTCCAAAGGCTGAGCAACATAACTGCACTTTTTATGATTTTGAAAAAAAACTTTTTCTTGACATCACTTATATCTTAACTACTTTGAAAACTACCATTTCAAATGTTGATAAGTTGTCCTGCATTTGAGTCAAAATGGATATAGGCAAGACTAGTACAACAAATCAATAGACCCAAAATGCTCAATTTGATCAGATGCGAGGTTCTGCTTTTTACGACGGCAAAATGTTCTGATGCTATAAAATGACAAAAGTACCAAATTGTTTTGAATGCAAGGAAAAGAAAAACGAGAGATCTACTGCTGACATCTTTCAATCATATGTGTGTGTGTGAGTGTGTGTGTGTGTGTGTGAGAGTGTGTGTGTCTGTGTGTGTGTGAGTGTGTCGTGTGAGTGTTGGTGCATGCGTGTAGGCGAGTGTTGAAATGTAAGTGTGTGCCTGTATGTGTATGTATTTACCATGCCGCACCAAAATTCCCTTTGTGGAGATCAATAAAATGTAATCTCATTTAACCTTATCGTATTTCATCTTATCTTACCTTATCTTGTCTTATCTTCTCTTCCCTATCTTACCTTGTCTTCTCTTATCGTACCATACCTTATCCCATCTTACAGTATCTTATCTTCTTACCTTGTCTTATTTTATCTTGCCTTTTCTTATCTTATCTTAGCTTATCTTACCTTACCTTATCTCATCTTATCTTATCCTATCTCATATTATCTTACAACTGACCATGAATCCCTGGAAGACCTGGTTCAGTCTGACAGCCTCGTACTGCGGAGGGAGGGCGGGGAGGTACAGGTTCCCGTCGTGAAGTCGTGGCTCCTCCAGCCACAAACTGTACGTCTGGAACAGCCTGAAGGACATAAACAGATATCAGCATACGCATGTGTGCTTTCTTCGATTTGTGCAATACCCACCTCCTTCAAGGAGAAACGGAGTAATAATAACAATGATAAATAAATTTCACTTATAATAACGCATTTCTATTATGAAAGTGCTCAATGGGCTTTACATTCATTTAAAAAAGCATGTTCATCATACATCCAATCACCATTATTTACACACACACACACACACACGAGAATACGTACGCACACACAAACACACAAGGACACTCACTTGGCCAGCATACGATGAAACTCTACAGAACTGGCGTACTCGGTAATCTCCTCCGCTTCCTGGTTCACTCGCGCCGTCCCTGGGCCAAAGTCCAGGCTTGGATCAACAACTGCGAGGACACAACAACTTTTTATTTGCCCGTTTGTTCGCATTGTGGAGAGAAACACATCAACTCAGATACTGTCCTTTAGTGCTAGGAGCATTTCCTTTTATATAATGTAGTTTTAGTTGCAGCACATGATTAAGCCATCAGCACTGAGCAATGCACGTCTGGTCAATACTTTTAGTTTTATTTAGAGTTTTATGGCACTTGCAACACGAATAGGTTATAAAAGTGCTGAAGATTGGCAGTCTTCCAAAAGAGCAACATGCAAAGAAAAGGAGAGATGGACAACAGAAGTTTGAAAGGAAAGAAAGAGCTTACCACACCAGAGCAACTGCCAAAACTTCCCACTTAGTACTGGGAAAAAGCAAGACACAGACAGAAAGAAAAGAGAAATTCAAAAGAAGTAGGATCTAGTGTGGAGCCCTCCAAACACTTGCCTTCTCATTTGCAATTTCCTTTTGCATGAGTTAAAACTCTACAAAACATCACACTAATCATTTCAAAAGAGAAGTGCTTGGAACACTAGTTACAGAAAAGAAGGAGAAAGATGAAAGAAAGAAAAAAGGGCACATAAAGATAAACATCATACTAATACTAGACCCTAAATCTGGAAAATAAAAACTGAAAAGTCAAAAAATTTCCTTTGGGGTTCAAACAGCCAGGACATTGGACATAAGCCAGCTCTGTAGTTTTGGCAAGGAAAAATATTATACATAAAACACTACCAGCTGAACAAAACACAACAGATGAGGTCCAACTTACTTGGTGGGGTGGTGGGACTGTGGGAACTTCTGCGCCTTTTGTGGGACCCGTCTTTTTGAGGGTCAAAGTTCATGTGGAAGTTGGAGGTGTCTATCAACCTCTTCCTCATCTTTTTCAGCATGTGCGAGTAGCTCATGGACTCGAAGAACCGCTCCCCAACACTGGCTCTCTGAGCAATGGAGCTGAACACAATGACAATTAAAAGCATATGTGAGGTGTGCTGACAAAATGAGTTACTTCTTGGATTTTAGCTCTATGGAAATTGATACATCAACTTTATAAGTGAAGTTTGTACAATTTGTAAGTATGAAATACTAAAAGACAAGGTAGACTTGAACAAAATGGCATCAATTAAAAATCTATAAATCTGACCCCAAATGTCGATTTTCTGCCAATATTCACATTCTTGGATAGCGATAAGTAACTCATTTTGTCAGCACGCCTCACATATCGTCAGTGTCCAACTCCAACCATATGTCTGCCAAACACTTCAGTCCCTTACTTGAAGGTTTCATTTAACAATTAAGTTTCTTTATCTTCAACAATGCAGTTCCGGTTTATTTCTTGCACAATTATACATAGCCGAAAAAATACTGTAACAAATCAAATGAGCAGTTTAAAAATTATATAAATGAGCTACAAAATGTGGTAACTAGATATGCTTGACTTTACACAGTCAGCTATATTCACAATCAGTATACCTGAGTCACTCAAACATTTTAGGACTCATTTAGTTTTGTTGGGGGTTCTTTTTTTTATTATATTTGTTTAGTTTTTTCCCTTCTCTGCCTAGATCGACCAAATGACACAACATTCTACGCAAAGAGAGTGTTCTTCCAGGAAGACTAAATTATTCTGGGACACTAAATCAGATTCAAATTTAAAATAAGATCATGAGAGTGAAGTATTACTAATGGTATAGAACATACTGTAGAGCATGTATATATGTACAATTATTGTTACTTTTATTACTGTCACCATCATCATCATTAAATGAATATGTGAGGCAGCGTGGTGGAATCAGGCGCTCGTCAAAATAATCAAAGTGAAGAAACTTGCATTTTTCCCCATGTTTGTGAATTTTTATAAAATTTTCTTTTTTGGCTCAACACCTTTCATGCCCATTAAAGAACTCATTTCTGTGTGGATTTTTCTGAAAAACATTGATTAAAGGCACAAAAATAGTAAATTTTCAGTTACCACGGACTCTTAAGCTAAGGAAAAAAGTAATCTTTGGCAGCCATTTCTCACTAACCTCACCTCTGAAAACAGGTGACCCGCATCTCCTTCATTCGCAAATATCTCAACTTGTATCTAAGATAAATGGATATTTTTTACATCCAAATAAAGACAAGTGAACGAGCTTTAAGATGATACCAATAACTCTACATGCCCAAAAACTGACGAGAGCCTGATTCCACCACGCTGCCTCACATATCAATATAATTATCATTATTCAGAACGGCCAGTACCATGACTCGAACACCTGCCTGCCCAGGTACAGGGCAAAGAACCTCTGCCACAGGATGGGCAACAGAGGGTGGTCGAACGGGGTGTCCAGAGCTTGCTGGGCCCACCGGTAGATGGTCAGTCGGCTAGCGGTCGGGGCCTGCTCCAGGTGAAGCTTGGACACTGCAACCTGTTACGTCATAATAATGATAATGATAATAATAATAATAATGATGATAATGATAATAATAACAATAACAACAATAATTATAATAACAACAATAATGATAATAATAATAATAATAATAATAATAATAATAATAACAAAGATCACTTTAATAGCGCTCACTCCCCGGTGGCTCCAGGAGAATCACAAAAGAATAAGAAGTAAAAATTTGACGGCTTACACTGTGACGTGTTTTCGGCATTACGGCCCACTCAAAGTATACAGTGCAAGCTGCCATTTTTCAGGGGCGCTCAAAACACTAACAAACTGACAGTCAGTACCATGACACATTATTAGCACTGAAAAAGAAAAGCAGAAGGAGATCACATCAGAGCAGCCACTCTGCTACCTCCAAATTACAAAGTTCTTTCTGCTCAGTACCTAGTTTTCAGAAATTCGACGTCAAAGATTTTGAGTTTCACACCATTTCAAGCTTTTGCGAATGCAATTCTTGGAATATCGTGATAACGACTCCTAATAATCTTACGACTTTGATAGAGCAGGTAGAAGATTTGGTTTCTGACCTCATGGTCTAAGTAACTCAAAACAGCCAAAAATGTCAGATAGAACTTTGTGATTCTGAGGTAGCGAATGAACAGCTGCCCACTAAGCCTGAGAGGGTGGTTGGCAGGAGCTCTAGTGTGGTTTCCTCCTTCTTTTCTATCAAACATCTATCATCCTTATCTCTCCTCCTTTCTTGTGTACGTTACTCTCGTGTAACACATCTAGTCTTCGGCACTTACACGACCTTATTGTGCTGCAAGTGCCGTAAAACTCTTACTAAAACTAAAAACCTAAACTAAGACTGTATCAATAACTCCATTTGTTCACAAATTGACGAGCGCATTATTTTCTACTGCGTTTCAAATGCCGTAAAACTCTTACTAAAACTAAAAACCTAAACTAAGACTGTATCAATAACTCCATATGTTCACAAATTGACGAGCGCATTATTTTCCACTGTGTTTCAAGTGCCGTAAAACTATTACTAAAACTATAAACTCACCCGGAGGCCGTTGTCGATATTGGGGCGGTTGGGCGAGTGCAGCTCCATGATGAGCATCTGCCAGAGGCGGGAGTTGACCTCGCTCTCTCCCTCTACCATGAGGATCATGTAGGCCAGCCACGGGAACTCGGGCAGCGAGGCGCTGTCCATGTAGGAGGGGAGGGTGGTGGAGGAGGCGATCCAGTTCCACATGGAGGACAGCGCCCCTTGCCGGTTCTTGAAGGCGTAGCAGAATTTCTGGACGAGGTAGAAAAATAATAAAGGTCAGTAAAGGAAGACGTACAGGTGAAGAAATGGAAATGGATTGGGCACGCCCTGAGGAGACCCCCGACAAGATATCATCAAGCAGGCTTTTAGTTTAGTAAGAGTTTTACGGCACTTGCAACACAATAAGGTTATATAAGTGCCGAAGATTAGAGGTGTTACAAGAGAGTAACAAACACAAAAAAGAAGGAGGGGAGATAAAGATGATAGATGTTTGATAGGAAAGCAGGAGCAAACCACACCAGAGCACCCGCCAACCACCCACAAGCAGGCTTTGACGTGGACCAGGAGTCCACAAGGAAAATGTAAGAAAGGAAGATCAAAGATGACAAGGAGGCGAGCGGTACAAACGGAAATGAAAAAGGCGGGGACATCATGGAAACAGCTAGAAAAAGACGCATAGGACATGCTTCGCTGAAGAAATGTTGTTGATGGCCAATGCCGCACTGGGAGTTAAAAAGGGCAAGAGAGAGAGAGAGAAATATAATGCAAAGTTAGACATGCAAATCCCAAAGATTAGAGGTGGTACAAGAGAGTAACAAACACAAAAAAAGGAAGAGAGATAAGGACGATAGATGTTTGATAGGAAAGAAGGACCAAACCACACTAGAGCACCCGCCAACCACCCACTCGGTACAGTCTACCATCTACAGCATTAGTATAACATTGTGTAGACTATAGCTAACACATCATGTGTACGACGTTATCAGATGGCATCATTTTGATAGGACTAGGCAAGAGGTTCACCCCACTCAAAGGGTTCTGTGAATGCAGATATGAAACTTGTGTGGGGTTCTGTGCCTCCAGGAAAGGTCAAACCATCAGCTCTATGCTGTTGTTTTAGTAGAGGTTTTATGGCGCTCGCAACTGCATAAGGTCATATGAGCGCCAGAAGATTAGATGTGTTACAAGAGAGTAACAAACATAAAAAAAGAAGGAGGGGAGATTAGGACGATAGATCTATGTTTGATAGGAAAGAAGAAGCAAACCACACCAGAGCACCCACCAACCACCCACAGCTCTATGCTACCAAAAACCCCCTCTGTGGACTCACCAAGTAATTTTCGCGAAAGATCATAGCCATCACATCATTGACTCCTTTCTTCACAAAGCACCACTGGATCAGGGTGTCTGCCACATAGCAGCTGTTTCTGTATACAAGAAAAAAAACCACAGGTCTGTGTCAAACAATGAACGAATTGAAGTTGAACGAGTTAATCCCTAAAATACCTTGTCAAAATGCAAATTCTAAATGTTGAAAAAAGCAAGAAATGGTACATAATTTCTCAAACAATAAGAGTACTTTGTCTCTACAGAACAATTTTTCTTTCCGGGCTTTAGACATTTGAGTAACTTGCCGATGATATAGTACAAGATGTTATTCTGATGGAAAAGAAACTGCATAAGTTCTGTTCATATTCAGTACGGACACAACAATCACAGGCTTCACAAAACCAAATTACGTGTTGCTCCGACTGTAGTACTAAAACATAAAACGAGCAAAAAAAAGCAAAACAAGAGCACAATCTATGTAAAGGTAAAACCGTCACTCAAGTTTCACACTTACAGCGAAGCAATCTGAAAAAAATTTCCAAAATTACAAATAGAGTTACCTGTCTGTGAAGAACTTGCAGACTTTGAAGATAACATTGACCCAAAACATAATGACTTTGTCCCCTTTTCTATGCGTCAGGTGACTGGTGATCAAAGCCTGCGGGAGAAAAAAATGTAAACTTGAGACCATCATCATCATCATCTAATCATCTTCATCATTATAATCATCATCATTTCCTGTGGTTCCGCCTGGAACATAAGCTGCCCACAAAAGCGCCCCATGCATCTCAATTCTGGGCCAGTTTTGTAACTGTTCCCACACTACAAACAATTCCTAGCCCAGCTGAGAAAGAGGGAGAATTGGGTGAGGGGTTCAATACCCATCCTTGTTAAACAACCCAAGCTACAACAATACTAACAAAGAATCAGACTTTGAGTTGGTAACTTTTTTAAATCTGCAGCAGCCTTAATGTCACAAACATTAGAAAACCTTGCAGTCACCAGGAGTCATCGGGTGCATTTACTTATAAATTTACTTCTGATGGATTTTTTTTTTTAAGACATCTAATTTTATGCTGAATTGAGTCACTTTAATTAGGGATTCAAGAATACTCTTGTGACAGAGTTGTGGAGTTAAAGAAGTTAGAAATAACATCCAGACAGTAACATTGATATGCAAATGGAGAGAGAGAGAGAGGGAGATAGAAAGAGAGAGAGAGAGAGAGAGAGA